GCTTGCCAATCTATACTTCCACGCCTCCACTGCCAAACATTGAGCTGAGTAGATTCACTTGAACACCGTCACTTGTACATCTCTACTTGCCAGCAAGTACTTGCACACCTCCACTGCCAAGACCGGAACAGAAGATATTCACTTGGTAACTTTTACCCCTCAAATATGAAACCTTGAACTGAAGACATCCGCTTGACAACCTTCACTTGTACAACTTCACTCGCAAAACAACGCGTGCATAACTCCAGTGCCAACCTCGAATTGCACACAACCACTTGATCACATGCACTCGCGCAGCTTCACTTGCCAACAAATACAAGGACACCTCCAATGGGAAACCTGGAGCTGAAAACCTTCACTTGACAAGATTCACTTGACAATTTTCGCCCTTGAACCTGCACTAGCTTTTCTTCATGTCAGAAAACCCACAATTTTGGAATGCGGCATCCAGCAGCTTACTCCCCCTGGCAACCACATATGGAGGATGTACACCTGCAAACGTTTCCTTGACACTCCTCGCTTTGATTCATTTACTGAAAGACATGCGGGGTCACAGAGAAAAACATCAAACAACCTGAAACTTCACATGTTCCATTTGCTAGTATCTTCTCCTGGCCCTTCACTTGCAGCCATTCACTTGTTTTCTTTTCATCATTTTTTCAAAACAACCAGACATTTCACTTGATTTGTTTCACTTGACAGGCTGTTCACTGAGACAACACTGCTACATCTTGCTCTGATGGAAGCCAAAGAAAGGCACCTGCCAATGCCTTTCAAATAAAAAACAAAGCTTTTGGGTTAAATATGTTAGTCACCTAAAGAAGTTTTATAGGTTATTTACAGAAATACCCTAAAGAAGTTTTAGGATATTTATATGACTGAAGAACCTAAAGAAGTTTTAGGCTATTTATATGAATAACCTAAAGAAGTTTTAGGTTATTTATATGAATAACCTAAAAGGTGTTTAACCTTAAAACTATGATTTAGGTTATTTAAGAATTAACCTAAAAGGTAGGATTTAGTCTATAGCCTAAAAGCAAGTTTTTAGTCTAACCGGATCTATAGGGAACACTTCTACACACAGACGCTTTTTCACACAGACGCTTTTACACACACGCGTTTACACACGGACGCTTTTACACACAGACGCTTTTACACACAGACACTTGTACACACAGACACTTTTGCACACAAAAGCTTTTACACAGACGCTTTTACACACAGACGCGTTTACACACAGACGCTTTTACGCACAGACGCTTTTACACACAGACGCTTTTACACACAGACGCTTTTACACACAGACGCGTTTACACGCAGACGCGTTTACACACAATTTTTGGCGATTGAACCTCATTTCGAGCGAAAGGGTTGCGCGGGACAAGTTGAAATCGCAATTTTACCTCAGTTTTTGACGATCGAACCTCATTTCGTGCGAAAGGGTGCGCGGGACAAGTGAAATCATAATTTTACCTCAGTTTTTGGCGATTGAACCTCGTTTCGTGCGTAAGGGTTGCGCAGGACACCTTCAAATCGCAATTTTACCTCAGTTTTTGGCGACCGAACCTCATTTCGAGCGAAAGGGTTGCGCGGGACAAGTTGAAATCGCAATTTTATTTCAGTTTTTGACGATCGAACCTCATTTCGTGCGAAAGGGTTGCGTTTCGTGCCGTCTCGTTGGCACTGCCCCGGCCCCCGCCTTCAGAAGAGAAATGGAAAATAGAAAAGAAGGAGAAGGCAAGAGGGCAAGATTGCAAGAGGGCAAGAGGGCAAGAGGAGAAGATGTGAAGATGTGAGGATGTGATGAAGATGTGAAGATGTGAGGATGAGAAGATGTGAAGAAGAGGGCAAGAGGGCAAGAGGCCAAGAGGGCATGAGGAGAAGATGTGAAGATGTGAGGATGTGAAGATGTGAAGACGTGAGGATGAGAAGATGTGAAGATGAGCAGATGTGAAGATGTGAAGATGAGCAGATGTGAGGATGAGCAGATGTGAAGGTGAGAAGATGTGAAGATGAGAAGATGTGAAGATGAGAAGATGTGAAGATGAGAAGATGTGAAGGTGAGAAGATGTGAAGATGAGAAGATGTGAAGATGAGAAAATGTGAAGATGAGAGGATGTGAAGATGAGAAGATGTGAAGATGAGAAGATGTGAAGATGAGCAGATGTGAAGATGAGAAGATGTGAAGATGAGCAGATGTGAAGATGAGAAGATGTGAAGATGAGAAGATGTGAAGATGAGAAGATGTGAAGATGAGAAGAAGATGTGGAGTGAGAAGATGAGAAGATGTGAAGATGTGAAGATGAGAAGATGAGAGTCAGACCCCCACTATTGGAAGAACCCTGCGCTCAGACGCTCTCGGGAAAAATCTGCCCAGGAACGTGTGGAAATATGTGGAAATTACATATCATTGGCACGGCACGAAAAAAACATCAATAATTCGAGATCGAACGTGGCAATGGTCACCGGCAACGCTTCGACACCTCGAATCTCGAATCTCGAACCTCGAATCTCGAATCTCGAATCTCGAATCTCGATTCTCGAATCTCGAGTCTCGGATCTCGGATCTCAGATCTTGGATCTCGAATCTCGAGTCTCGGATCTCGGATCTCCAGTCTCGAGTCTCGGATCTCGGACCTCGGATCTCGAATCGCGAGTCTCGGATCTCAGATCTCGGATCTCGAATTCATACTCTTTCGCGCATGGGAAACACCTGAGAATAGGAGAAAGTGGTATGAGACAGTATATGAAGTGGAAATTCCGAAGAGGCTAAAGACACTGCCAGCCGTCGATCAGCGGTGGAGGGTCTGTGCCTTGGCCCATCTGCCACAACGGAGTTGCAAACTAAAGTGATGGTACCTGCAACAGCTTAAAGAGCTTGTTCATGACAACCTGCAAGTACAGGAAAACTGGCAAGTTTCCCTTCCCACCTCCATCCACAGCTTCGTTGCGTGTGTGCCAGACGCCCATGCGATTCTTGGTTCCAATGTGCACATGGAGCAAGTGCGCTGAAGTGATGTTACCTGCAACCACCTGAAGAGAACAGCTTGCTCATGACAATCTGCAGGGACAAGGAAGTTGGCAAGTCTCCTTTCCCACTTCTATGCACAGCTTCGTTGCGTGTGTGCCAGACGCCCATGCGATTCTTGGTTCCAATGTGCACATGGAGCGAGTGCGCTGAAGTGATGTTACCTGCAACCGCCTGACTGAAGAGAACAACGTGTTCATGACAACCTGCAAGTACAGGAAAACTGGCAAGTTTCCCTTCCCACCTCCATCCACAGCTTCGTTGCGTGTGTGCCAGACGCCCATGCGATTCTTGGTTCCAATGTGCACATGGAGCGAGTGCGCTGAAGTGATGTTACCTGCAACCGCCTGACTGAAGAGAACAACTTGTTCATGACAACCTGCAAGTGCAGGAAAACTGGCAAGTCTCCTTTCCCACTTCTATGCACAGCTTCGTTGCGTGTGTGCCAGATGCCCCTGCGATTCCTGGATCCAATCTGCACATGGAGCGAGCTCTGAAGTGATACCTGCAACCGCCTGAAGAGAACAGCTTGTTCATGACAACCTGCAGGGACAAGAAAGTTGGCAAGTCTCCTGCTCGGATCTCGAACCTCGAATCCCGAATCTCCAAGTCTCCAATCTCGAATCTCGAATCTCGAATCTCGAATCTCGGATCTCGGATCTCGGATTTCGAATTTCGAATCTCGAATCTCGAATCTCGAATCTCGAATCTCGAATCTCGAATCTCGAATCTCGAATCTCGGATCTCGAATCTCGAATCTCGAATCTCGAATCTCGGATCTGGAATCTCGAATCTCGAATCTCGAATCTCGGATCTCGAATCTCGGATCTGGAATCTCGAATCTCGAATCTCGAGTCCATTGTCACAAGTGCGTTCTCAATAATTCATTGATGGTTTCGGAAATTCTTCCATTTAAAAACCCAAATATCTTGATTTAACGTCAAGAGATGCCTGAAAAAAAATCAGCCCAGGAATGTGTGGAAACTGCATATCATTGACACGGCAAGAAAAAACATCAATAATTCATTGATGGTTTTGGAAATTCTTCCATAAAAAAAATCCAAATATCTTAATTTAATGTCAAGGGGTGCTTTCTATTCTTGAAAAAAATCAGCCCCGCAGCGTGTGGAAATTTGATATCATTGACACGGCCCGAAAGAACATCAGTGATGGTTTCGGAAATTCTTCCATAAATAAATTTCCAAATATCATAATTTAACGTCAAGGGGTGCTTTCTATTCTTGAAAAAAATCAGCCCCACAGCGTGTGGAAATTTGATATCATTGACACGGCACGAAAAAAATCTCAATAATTCATTGTTTTTCGGAAATTCTTCCATGTCAGTCGATTTCATTTATTAGTTTCAACATTTTTTTACAGCAAAAACAAGGTTTCAAGTCCTAAAAACATCTGGTCCAAATGCGTTCCCAACTCATGGATAGCCTCACCGCCCATCCTTTGTGCCACTTCCTGGCTGACAATCACACCTGGCCAAAACCCCAAAAAGACCCTTGAATACGAAAAAATATGTTTCCCGCAACCCCATAAAGACCCCTGAATTGGAGAAAATGAGTTTCCCGCAACCGCAAAATGACCGCCAGGAGGCAGGGGGTAAGTTGCCTCCTGGCGCCGTTTGTGCGCCCGCCCTATAGCTACCGACGCACGTCACTACTTGAAGAAGAAAAAAAGGTTACCTAGCCTGGTTTCATTTTGGTTCCGTTTCAACTTTCTGATGTGTTTGTTTTTGATTCTGGATGTCGGGATTTCATTTGCTCCAGCTCCATTACCAACGATCTCCTCGTCCAAAGATCTCTTTGTCCAAAGATCTCATGCTAAGATCCCCACAGCCGGCTTTTAGAGACCAGAACGAACCTAAGGTTTGCGCACTGAGGCTGATCCACGCGTGATTGAAGCTGAGAAGACTGGACTACTACCAGACCTGGACGATGTGAAGCCTGCATCTCACACGGCTGAGTTTCGATCAGTTGGGGCCATGATCGGGTTGCGGGCAGGGCTTAGCAGCGCAAGTGGCCTTTGGGTTGGCAAACTTTTGTGCCATGGATGTGTGTACTATGAAACCGTGAGCAGCACATACATCTTGAGTCTTGGGTTCCATGCAGCCGGTGGGCTGAGCTGGGAAATTACTCCTGTGGGCCCCACTGATTCAAGTGGCAAACATGAGTTTTTCCGCCTGACTCCAGCTTGCTTTTCCCTGGAAGATTCCCGTGCTTACCTGCAATGCTTTGCCACAACAAAACTGTGGTCACCGTCACATGGAGAGAATGAGGAAGAGTACGCAGCTGTACCAACAACAGTATGTTTCTTAGCATAATATGTACATGTTGCACAAGTATATGAACAATATTCGGAATTTGTTTCCCCATCTAAAGTGTTACCATGGTCGTCGTCAGGTTTGGACAGTGTTACACATTTTCTCCCCTGCTGCTTTCTCAGGTTGCCCCTGGGAGGCACCAGATGGTGGGCATGGAGTTCTTTTGCGACGGACTGGTCCAAACGAACCACTGGTCCCGTTCTGGCTGAAATTTGGAGAAGTGGATGTGAAGCAAGATTTGTCAAAGCTTGTGAAGCATATTGTACTGATCAGCAAAGTCAAGGTTGTCCGGCACAAAGAAAAGACTGCTTGATTACGGTCCCAACTGTTTCTATGACGCAATGAGTGTGTACCTACTACAAGCATGGTTTTGCTCACCTAAAGCCTAGCATCAAAAAAAGTGAATGCTGCAGTCGCCTCTACAACTGTTTTAGTTTTGTATACTTGTTGTATCACTTTGATGAATGGGCTCAATCTTAACTCAGGTTCAGCTTGATCGGCCACTATTTCCCAGATTTGCCAGAGAACAAGAAAGAGGATCAAATTCTTCGTTGGGTTCCCCCTGTTGGAAAAGATGCCCCGGTGACAGCCAGCCCAGGTGGATTTTACGTTTCATACTTGGGGGACGTGCTTCAAAAACTACATACAGAAGAAGATGGCAAAGACTTTCAGCAGCTCAAGGACGTGGTCGACGACTACAAGAGACAGCCGTTTATCTTGTCTCGCGTCGGCATGTCACGGAATCGTGCAGCCCATTGGACACCCAAACCCATCAAGGATTTGAACCCCCAAATTCTACGTTGGTGTGGCAATGGACTGCTGCAGCATTCCAAGGGTATTACTGTATTACCCCATGCCTCAGAAATTGGTTGATGAGAGACTCAGCAAAGCCAGAAAAAGAGCAAGGGAAAAATCAAAACCATATGGTCCCGACACCGGGGCTACGCGCAAAAACTCACCAAACTGAAAGCCTTACAAGAGATCACAAAGTGGCTGTGGAAGACTCACAAAGAATGTGGTGGGGATTCTTTGATGCATTTTGAAATACCTGTTCTGTTCGGGCTTCACTTAGGTCAACTTGTTATTTTTTAGTAATGCCCATTCCAAGGGGAGAGTTGCCTTCAAACCTGTGCCCCAGCTTAGGATGGGTCTGGTGAGCCGTCCAAAGAAAAGGTAGAAGAAGCCTTGAAACTAGCCGAGGAGACTGACAAACCAGAGGGTGCCAATCCAGACGATGACGTTGTTGAGCTTCCCAAAGATGTCATGGAAGTGAAACAAACGCAGACTCTGAAATGAGTGGGGTCGATGAAAGCAGTGGCAACAGCAGCAGCTCAAGTCCTAGCAGCTCAAGTACTGTAGTCAAAAGAAAAAGCCTTCAAAAGCAAAGGCAAAATCAGAACCAAAGAACAAAGGGCGCGGAAGGGGACGCGGCAAAGAATCTGTTGTTCCGAAGTCAGCTCCCCCGACGGAGAACAGAAAACGACCAGTCCCAATAGACACAAGTCATGTGAAAGTGAATGAAAACTTGAAGCTTCGTTTGGATCAGATTTCGCAAGAGAACGCGATTGCAGCCAGTAGTTCGTCAAGTTCCAAACAGCCAGCTGGCAAAAGACCCAAGAAATGAGAGGAAATGTGTACATGTTTGATCAAATAACATTTTTTCCTAGCATAGCGGATGACAAAGAGTAGACCAGTCATCAAATATACCAATTTTGTGTTGCATTCCTCTCGAAGTTGTGCCATAAGAGGCTGCACTTGCTCACAATGTGAGAACACCAGGCAAACATGTTTCACCCACAGGAGTCAAAATCAAGATTGCTTGCTTGATCGGTTCCCACCGGGTTCTCATGCGGAACTTAAAAACTACCCCTGGCGAACCTGATAGAATATTTAAGGGGTTCACTGATCAGTAATCACAAAATTGCTAAAAACCAGTATTTTACTAGTGGGGTATGGTAGACAGGGGTAGCTTGTAAGTTCTTAGAATATGTCTGTGCCCCTGCGAGTGCTCACACTCAGAACCTCTTTGTATACGCGCATATACTCACAAGCATACATAGATCATATCACAGATACTTTTGTATATGAGCCCATGTTCTGCGAACTCACATATGCCTCTTCCCTGGCAAGTGCTCACACTTTGAAGCCCTGTTTCTATACGTACATACATTGACAAGAAAACACGTATCATGTCATAGATACTTTTGTATATGAACCTATGTTCTGCGAACTCACATATGTTTGTGCCCTTGCAAGTGCTCACACTTAGAACCTCCTTATATACATTCATCTACTCGCAAGTAATAATATATATATTTACTGTAAATATATATTTATATATATATATATAAATTCATATCACAGATACTTTTGTGTATGACTCCGTGTTGTGCGAACTAACATATGTCTGTGCCCTTGCGAGTGCTCACACATAGAACCTCTTTGCATTCATTCATACATATGTCACAAATATACATTTATTCCATCACAGATACCTTTGTATATCAACCCGTGCTGTGCAATCTCACACTTGTACGTGCCATTGCGAGTGCTCACAGTTAGAACCTCTCTGTATACATGCATGTACTCACAAGTATACCTACATCAAATAAAAGATAATTTTATATGTGAACCCATGTTGTGCGAACTCACATATGTTTGTGCCCTTGCGAGTGCTCGCACTTAGAACCTTAATACATACACTTGCTCGCAATTATACATATATTCCATCACAGATACTTTTATATCTAAAGCCATGTTGGGCGAACTCACATATATGTTTGTGACATGCGAGTGCCCACACTTTGAGAAGCTGTTTGTATACATGCATATGCTCACAAGCATACATATGCTACATTATTAATACTCTTGTGTTACCGATGTTGTTCAAACTCACATATGTCTGTGCCCTTGCGAGTGCTCACACTTGGAACCTCTTTGTATACATACATTAACATTTACTCACAAGTGTACATGTTTCATTTTACAGATACTTCCGTGTATGACTCCGTGTTGTGCGAACTCACCTATGTCTGTGCCCTTGCGAGTGCTCACACTTAGAACCTCTTTGTGTACATGCATATACTCACAGACATACATATGTCATATCACAGATACCTTTATATATGAACCCATGTTGTGCGAACTCACATATGTCTGTGCCCTTGCGAGTGCTCGCACTTAGAACCTCTTTGCATACATACATATGATCACAAGTATACATATATATATATATATATTCCATCACAGATACTTTTGTATATAAGCTCATGTTGCGCAAGCTCACATATGCTTGTGCCCCTGCGAGTTCTCACACTCAGAACCTCTTTTTATACACATCCCTATACTCACAAGTATACATATATCAAGAATCATATCACGGATACGTTGGTATATCAACCCGTTCTGTGCACTCTCACACTTGTTTGTGCCCTTGCGAGTGCTCGCACTTAGAACCTCTTTGCATACATACATATGATCACAAGTATACACATTCCATCACAGATACTTTTGTATACAAGCCCATGTTGTGCAAGCTGACATATGTTTGTAGCCTTGCAAGTGCTCACACTCAGAATGTCTTTGTATACATACATATACTAACAAGTATACATATAAAGAATCATATCACGGATACGTTGGTATATCAACCCGTGCTGTGCACTCTCACACTTGTTTGTGCCATTGCGAGTGCTCACAGTTAGAACCTCTTTGTATACATATAGTGACAAGTACTGGTATACATTTATTGTATCATGGAAAGTTTTGTATATGAACCGATGTTGTGCAAACTCACATTTTTTTGTGCCCTTGCAGGTGCTTACACTTGGAACCTCTTCGTGTTCTCACATATGCTCACAAGTAGACATATTTCATATTACAGATACTCTTGTATATGACTCCGTGTTGTGTGAACTCACATATGTCTGTGCCCTTGCGAGTGCTCACACTTAGAACCTCTTTGCATACGTGCATGTACTTACAAGAATACATAAATCACATCACAGATTGATTTGTATATGAGCCCATGTTGTGCGAACTCAAAACATGTCTGTGCCCTTGCAAGTGCTCACACTTAGAACCTCTTTGCATACATACATATGTCACTAGTATACATATATTCCATCACAGATACCTTTGTATATCAACCCGAGCTGTGCACTCTCACACTTGTACCTGCCATTGCGAGTGCTCACACTTAGAACCTCTTTGTATACATATGTTGACAAGTATTAGTAAACATTTATTGTATCATGGATAGTTTTGTATATGAACCCATGTTGTGCGAACTCACATATGTTTGTGCCCTTGTGAGTGCTCGCGCTTTCTCTTTGTATACATGCATATACTCACAAGCATAGATATGTTCTATCACAAATACTCTTGTATATGAGCCGATGTGATGCAAACTCGCAGATGGTTGTGCCCTTGCGAGTTCTCACACTTGGAATCTCTTTGTATACACGCATATGCTCACAAGTATACATATTTCACATTACAGATACTTTTGAGAATGACTCCGTGTTTTGCGACCTCACATATGTCTGTGCCCTTGCGAGTGCTCACACATAGAACCTCTTTGCATTCATTCATACATATGTCACAAATATACATTTATTCCATCACAGATACCTTTGTATATCAACCCGTGCTGTGCAATCTCACACTTGTACGTGCCATTGCGAGTGCTCACAGTTAGAACCTCTCTGTATACATGCATGTACTCACAAGTATACCTACATCAAATAAAAGATAATTTTATATGTGAACCCATGTTGTGCGAACTCACATATGTTTGTGCCCTTGTGAGTGCTCGCGCTTTCTCTTTGTATACATGCATATACTCACAAGCATAGATATGTTCTATCACAAATACTCTTGTATATGAGCCGATGTGATGCAAACTCGCAGATGGTTGTGCCCTTGCGAGTTCTCACACTTGGAATCTCTTTGTATACACGCATATGCTCACAAGTATACATATTTCACATTACAGATACTTTTGAGAATGACTCCGTGTTTTGCGACCTCACATATGTCTGTGCCCGTGCGAGTGCTCACACCCTAAGACTTAAAACATCTTTGTATACATATATACTTACATGTAAAGTTGAAATGACAATAGGTTTGATGTGTGCAGGCAAATGGCGCGGCCCTCATAGTTGGTTGGTGCTACTCCCACAGTTAGAACCTTTGGCATCAAAAAGGTTCTAACTGTGGAGGTTTTTTGAGGTTCTAACTGTGAGGAGTGAACATTTTGGAAAAAATTGAGGTTCTAACTGAGTGTCCGTTGGTATACTCTTCCTTTTCCTTCTCCTTTTCCTTCTCCTTTCCTTTTCCTTTCCTTTTTTTTTCCTTTTCCTTTTCCTTCTATTCCTTCCTTTTCCTTTTTTCCCCTTTCGTTTTCCTTTCCTTTTCCCCTTTCTCTTTCCTTTTCCTTTCCCTTTCCTTTTCCTCTCCCTTTCCTATGCTTTCATTTCCCTTCCTTTACCCTTCCTTTTCCCTTTCCTCGCTCATGTGAATCCTTTGGTCAAGGTGTGAAGCCAGCGCTTGGAAAAACGATAAGAGGAAAAACAACGATAACGTGTGACAAAAACATTTGAAAGGGCTCGGGGGTTTTACAAGACCCCGTATGGAAACCATCTTCCACCTTCCATATTTCAAGTGTAGGGTGGTTCATCTGGTAGCAGCATCCCAAATCCCCATCCAGGAATGTTTAAACATGTTTAAACATAAGGTTAAGTATTGTTTAAACATGTGATTCGTTGAAGGCGTTGAAGCAAAAGGCGGCCCTAGCCTGCTATCGTGATATATATTGCGTACATATATGGCTCTAGCTTGGGGCAACCCAAAGCAGAATAAGCAATGTGAGCTTACCAAGCAGAGTTGGGGCTAACATTCTCAAAATACTGATTGAAAGATATACTAGCGCTATCGTATCGGGAGGCCGTGCGCCTGGAAAAAGTTCAAGTTTGGCATCACCACAACTTTTAGTAATTGAACGATTTCATTGTTTTGGGGCCTGACCAATGCAATGTTTCTTAAAGCTTCATACTTTTGGCGACATACACTAGTGTTTCTTTCGCTGTGCGCAATACTTGGGCTACTTTCTGGTGTATTAACGTGCACATGTAAACATGCTGTGCCATGGTATTTTCCTTCAAAGATTATATAATTTTATGTGCCAAATGGGCGCTGTACCAATAGAATTTTAGTCTGAGGAGATGATATGGGTACCGGCTGTTTTCCAATAATTCCATTAGGATTCTTTACAAATATGAGCCTTTTTAGCAAAGTATCTGTCATTTTCCCTGCTGTGCGCAATGCTTCGGCCACTTTTAGGCATATGTATCATAGATGAAACAGGCTCTGCCATGGTGATTCTTCTTCCCTGATGTGACTTTCAACTACCAGATGTGACTTTCTGTATCGCCGCCGTGCCATGGGGATGATGTGGCTTTTCCCGCCTGATGTGACTTAAGCACGGTGCTTGTACAAGGTCAGAGTCCAAATCTGGATAAACATCAAATTCTGCCATGGGGACTCCTCAAACTGGGAGCACCCGTGGGCACCCTGTAGGATCAGCTGGAAAGGCTCTCACTCTCAAAGCAGAAGGAGTCCAATTGGTCACAGCGCTTGGATCAATATGAGGCATCCTCCTCCGGGAATCCTCTATAAAATCAGGGACGCCAGGGTCCGTATAAACTGATTTTTTTATGTAAACATTTTGTTGTCAGAAAACATTGGGGTCCCTGACTTTTTGATTTTATAGACTGGTGCAAGTACAGGGTACCCCCTCCCTTTTGATTTTATAGTGATTACTATGTTGAAAGTGGACTGAAGTGGACACGTTTCACTGGAGGTTGACTTTTTGGTTTTATAGATACTGTATAAAAATTGTGCTTGAGCTTTTTGATTTTATAGTGATAGTATCTGACAAGCAGGTTGGTTTGTGATGGTTTGCTGATGTTTGCATATGTTTGCTATATATGTTTGTCATTGTTTGTCTGGTTTATATATATATATAATTATTTATATATATTTATATAAGTTTATATGACTAATTGTCAATCGCACACCATTTCCATTTTGCTCAAAAACTAGCTTGGCCCAGGGGTAGGGTCAGGTGACTATCAAACACCCTGCCGTGTCCCTATCGAATAAATCAGGCACGCAAGCGTCCCCCATAATCAGAAAATTATAGCGGTGGTCACCTGGTCCAAAAAGTGGTCACAAAACAAGTATTCAACATCTCATGTTTTTCGTGGGGACTGTACACTTTGATTTCATAGAATAAAGTGATTGGTTGTGAACAAGGAATGCAATGGAAGAAGTTTTGATTTTATAGTTGATCTATTCTTGACGCAACAGATTGGAGGAGGCTGTGTTTTTGATTTTATAGTGTTTTGTTTTGTGGAGTAACAATGGATGATTGTGTTGTTGTTTTTTGATTTTATAGATTGTCATTGGTGTTGTTTGATCGTATTCAAATGTTTTTAATATTGTAGACTCAGTGTGACACTGTGGTGGTTGGTTGGCTCAAATTAAAGCCTGCAAGCTGACCAGGGGGTGCTGGTTAGCAAGGCAAACAATGTAAATCTATGCAAATCCCATCAAATCACGGTCAATGATGCTTCAATGAATCATGCACACATCGTTGGAATACATTAGATAAATATCCTGGGGGTTCATGTAACATCCTGGCTGACACTAACACGTCAGAACAATAATTGCCTGATTGTTTTGATATCCCCTCGGGTATTTCAGCTATAAATTCAGGCGCAAGCGTTCCCCATAATCATAAGAGTATTGCAATCACCTGGTCCAAAAAGTGGTCACAAAACAAGTATTCAACATCTCATGTTTTTCGTGGGGACTGTACACTTTGATTTCATAGAATAGAACGATTGATTGTGAACAAGGAATGCAAAGGCATAAAATTTGATTTTATAGTGGATCTATTTTTGAAGTAACAGATTGGAGGAGGCTGGCTGTGCGTTTTGATTTTATAGTGGCACTTTTTTTGGGGGCAACAGATTGGAGGAGGCTGTGCGTTATGATTTTATAGTGGGTTTAGTTTGGACTAACAAATGGATGATCTTGTTTTTTGTTTTAATTTTATAGGTTTCCTCTGGTGTTGTTTGATAGTATTTGATCGTCTTCAAATGTTTTTAATATTATAGATACGGTGTTGGTTGGTTGGCTCAAATCAAAGCCTGCAAGTTGACCAGGGGGTGCTGGTTAGCAAGGCAAGCAATGCAAATCACATCAAATCATGGCCCACTATCAAAAAATCAAAATGCCTACCCTCTTTGTTGTTTGGCGTATGGTGTTTATGTTCTCTGCATACCCCTTTCTATTTCCTATATACATATATAATCACATATATATATAATGGTAGTACCCATGTATTGTTTGAAATGGAAATTTTAGTCAGATGAGGTCTGTGCACAAAGCGTTGAAAAATAATACAAAAATAAAGATCTGATTTCATAGAAGGCCTTTTGTAAACCATTTGTAGGCCAACATGTGGCTTATGACCAATTCAGGGGGGCCCAGGCACCTGACCTTTATAGAGATGTTTTTTATTTTGGCATGGTTCTGATTTGTTGGCCCACTGATCCTGACGTAATAGAGGGATGGTTTTTGAGATAAATTTGTTGTGTAACCGATCTCCGCATCCCGCTAACATCTTTATGAAGACCGACGGGGAATGCGTCTAACAAGCTGCCAATACAGCAGCTGACAAATGCGATAGTTATTGAGGTGATCCACATCTTAGAGATAATGAGAATATAATCGATAGATAGATATGATAGAGAGAGCGAGGGAGAGAAGGAGAAACAGACAGATGGATAGATAGAGATGGTTTCAAACTAGTTCTAGACTAGATGGTTTCAGGTACCTCTTGGGAGCCCTTCCAAAAAAAAAACAAAACATTATTTTTGTTGTTTTTTTTAAGGTTGTGCCTTTGAATGCGGCCGCTATAAAATCAAACAGTTCCAGAAATTGGACTCTGTTCATATGTTTCCCGCCTCCTTGCCCTCTAACTCCAAAATTTGGTCAATACACGCCTCAAACATCTTTGCCACTGTCCATATCGTTAGGCACAGCAGGACTCCAAAATGGACAGTTCAGGTTTGAAAGGCCCCCCGGTAGCGACTAACTTGTCGATTTTATAGAGAGGTTGTGCTTGAGAACTGCGCGTGTTGACGTTGCCTTTCAGCAGCTTGAAATTGGGACGGATTGGGGATAATTCGGAAATCAGTAGGGGTATTTGGTGCATGTACTCGGCTTCAATATGGACTCATTGCCTCTATAAAATCAAAAAGATTCAAAAAATTCCAGAAAATGGACTCTTTACATATGTTTCCCGCCTCCTGGCCCTCTAAACTCCAAAATTTGGTCAGTACATGCCCCAAACATCCTTGCCACTTTCTGTACCGCAAGGCACCGCGGACTCCAAAATGAACAGTTCAGGTTTGAAGGACACCCAAATAGAGACTAATTCGTCGATTTTATAGAGAGTTTTTGCTTGAGCACTGCGCGTGTTCACGCGTCTGATCGGCGTCAATATGGACCAAATCCCTCTCTCTCTCTCTCTCCCTCTCCCTCTCTCTCTCTATCTCTTTAAATTAAAAGTGTAACCTCCCGCCGCGCTAAATTCCAAAATTGGGTCATTACTCGCTTCCAACATCTTTATATAAAGCTTTCCATATAGTGAGGCACAACAGCACTCCGACATGGATAACTGATAACTCATGTTTGAAGGGCCCCCGAATAGGGACCAGTGACTAAGTTTTCGATTTCATCTGGAAATTTTGCTTCAACAATCCCGGTGCCAAAAAAGTGTCCCAAAATGGCAATTGTTTTCCAAGTTCTGGTGTTTGTTTTCTTTAATTGAACCTGATTCAGCAAACTATGGAAATTGATGGTATCTCCCAAGCCACAACCATCCCAAAAGAAACTTTTCTATAAAATCAAAGGCCCGGGTCCAGCTTGTATTGACATCTCTTTCAAGCAGTTCCACTATAACTATAACATCAGAGACCAGGTACCCCAATAGTAAGGGCGCACATGTTTCAACAAACTTTATAAAACCACCATCTTGGAGATCCTGATTTTGTACTGGACCAGGTGGATGACCTTCAAGGTTAGATACCTGCACCCGGTATCTAGATTTTATAGGGGACTTTGGTGGTTACAAACAGGCATGTGTATTCATGTGGTATTTTTTGTTTTTTGATTTTATAGAGTCGTATTTCTTGCAATCTAATTTTAATCCTGGTTTAAGAAAGATTCCCAGAATGTACCCTTATAGTGGAAACCAGGTACCTCTATAAAATGGCGGTCTCTGGGAGACTCTTGAAATTCACAAGGGGACCTCTCTGCTATAAAATCATGGTTGGTAGCCCCCCAAAAAAATACGGCTCACAATCCCTGAGAGAGCTGCCATCAAAATGAGGTAACCCAGTCCTGAATTTTATAGTGATCTTTGGGATTCATATTTTTCTTTAAAAGGGAACATTTTCAAGGTTGTGTCCTGATTTTATAGGCATTTTGCAGTATTGGGGGGCAGTCTATACTTGTTAGATTTTATAGCTTTGTACATCCCTGTGTAGGGCTGGACACTTTGATTTTATAGAAATGACAGGGTTATCGGGGGGCTGCGCCCCACCAAATTATAGCTATAAAATCAGCGGCTCCAGGGTTCCCCCCCAATATGCAAGGGGATACCTTTGGTGAGAGACTCTTGAGCTACATAAAACATCATAGAACATCATAGAACTAAGACATACTAAGACATAATAAGACTATAATATGGGAACAGATCTATAAAATCAAAAAGTAAAGGGACAACAATAACCACTATAAAATCAAAAGGTTGCAGTGCAACATTTGCATCTTCCGGACCCAGAAATTGAATCCTCAAAGTGGAGGTCATTGAACTTTTGATTTTATAGACCTGTTATGTTGCCTTAAAAGGCTGTCCAACGGTACGTTGGTGACTCTGATTTTATAGACACTCGTGTTTTTTTGGGTGTTTTTGGTGGGTTTATATATGGGTAATTTTTTGGTTTTTTAGAGGTGGCAGAGGGGGTGGGGGCTGGGTACCACCATTTTATGCACTATAAAATCAGGGTCCCTTGGGTACCCCCCGATTCCCGAAGGGGGATTATGAGGCCAATTACCGATTCTCCAAATCCTATTCCAGCTGCATTTTGCAAAAGGTCTGTCGAAGTGTTGGTATCGTGGCCGAAGTATGTCAATGTTTGAAAGTAAAACTCCTCGCCTGTCCATGTGTTTCACGGTCCCTTGTTCGCTAGCTAGCCGCTACCGCTAGCTTTCCCACCATTTTCAAACGACTTCCGGGCCTTACAAGTATTCAACCTTCAAATGTGGGACTGGCTGCCTATGTCCTTGCACACTTGTTTTCCACGTCCCAGTGTCGTGACTCTTTCACGGTTCATTTCATGTTGTTACCCCATGCTCCCACTACACTTTATTACGACAAATATGGTACTGTACTGAACAGATGGCAACACTGATTTCACATAGCATATATAATCAGTTGGCTGTAGTCTTACGCGCAGCATCCATCCAAGCTTGCAGCATCAGTGCTCGATCAGGCAGCTCAGAAGCGACTTGAGCAGAGAATGAAGCATTTTGAGGTTCCAATTCCGACAGAAAGATGGTCTGACAATGTCTGACATTGGTGGAGAGAGTCTGCGAAAGCCCTTCATTCAGGTTGCCACCTTGCTTGCAATGAACCTGTCTATATTATCTACTTATCTATTGCAAGTGTCCCCTCAGAATGTACATACAGGTGTTCACAATTTGGCGTTGTGTCAGAACCCACTGTAATTTGCAGGGCGCTGCGTTCACTTTGAGCACCGCCAGGGGGAGGATCAAAATCTGGATGGCCGATGTGGTAAGTTGGAGAAAAAGTTGGAGGCTGGGACTCCGTGAAGCCACCCACGTCGTGCGCATGCTATGAAGAAATCTTGTGAACAGGGCCAGTAGATTGGCAATGCGTTGGTGCTGTTTTGTTTTACGATTCTCGGATACAGACTGAGTTGCTCATTTTCGAGGATTTTTAATGTACAGTATATTATTATATAATGACATTGTACAAATATACTAGGGCCCGGTGACATGAGTACTTTGTGGCGGTTTTCTCGACAGATGACATCCCCTGAGCATCGAATATTGATCCTAATCAATCTATTGATTTTGAAAAAAAATCAATTCAAATCAATCTAAAATATTGAAAAAACTGATTTTGGAATCAATTCGAATTTAGTAGGTTTTTGAAGGCAAAAATCAATATGCAAATCAATCTACAAATCAATGTATAAATCAATTCAAATCAATTTACAAATCAATTCAAAATCAATCTGTTGAACTCTGATTTTGCTACCCTTCCCACAACCAGTTCTCACAGCTCTTTTTGCTTGTGAGCTTGGGGTTGAAGTCCTCACCTTGCTGTGAAGGGAGGCAATAGTTTTCCACTTCCCTTTTTCAAAGGTGAAACCATGTTGCCTTCCTCCTTTTCCATGTGTTTTTTTTGCAAACCCCTTTTCCAAAGGTTGGCCTTTGCTGATCACCTTTATAAAGGCTTCAGGCTTTGTCCCAGTCCTTTTTCCAAAGGTTATTATACAGTCTCTTTTGCACCGTGTTGCAAAGGTTTTTGCATATTTTGCTCTTCCCTTCCTCAAGGGTCTTGGGAAAATTCTTTGGCTGTCTCTGCAAAGCCTTCTCTTGTTAAGAGCAAGTGAAGCAGCACTCGATACTTGGGGGCTACCTTCACTGACAGCCTGGTGGCACCCACCCCAGAAGAGATGCTAAAAGTGAGCAAGCTGATTTTGCCCACAAAATCTTCATTGGAGAAGCACCAATGGCACCTGGGGTTCAACCATCGAGAATTTTCAATCATGTGCTGAAGCTGATGGTGCTTGTACACCTGGTGGAAGAGAAGTCTCTCTTCCTCTTCAGCCCATGTATTCAGCATGGAATAGATGTCCAAAAACCCTTTCCCAAGGGTAAAAACTTTTTCCCACTCTGCAGTGGTGAGCACAATGTCTGCATCACAATACAGGTCCACCACTTGTTGCAAGTGTTCCATGCAGTCCAGCATGCACCTCTCTTGGTAGACATCAGCTTGCAGCAATGATCTGCAAACCACCAAGAATGTTGGAAGCATGTGTTTTGCCTCACTACCCTTGATGCTCAAAGAAGGGTATGAGGTGTGAGGGTTCTTGGGGTCTGTGAACATGGTGAGCCTGAGATTGCTCAACCTGGTTGGGCTGTCCAGCTCTTTGTATGCCTTTTGCCAGGCTTCCCACACCACTGCTAACCGCTCCTGAGGGGATTTTTTTTGCCTCCCAGGGTTGAACCAGCACATGTACTGGAGGACACTCCCCAGGAGGTGTGAGTAAACCCCATGCACAAAGCATATGTGCAGCGCATCACCTCTCACAAATTTGGTTGACAGCCCTGGGATGGCATTGAACAAGGGGTTTGAGGTGCAGGGATGTGCCAATGCATGTGCATGGGTCACCCTTGTGAAGGCTTGGGTGTCAATTTCCAATTTTTTGAAATACTTTCCCTGATTGGCAGTGCTGGAGGAAGCTCATAGCAAGGCCTCTTGCTGGCCCAGTGGGGCAGGCCAAGGGCCAATGCAAAAAAATCAGCATCACCCATCACTGCCCAAATCACACCTTTGTATCCATTTTCCAATGGTTTCCCTTTGTTTGCAAAAAAAGGCGATCCCTTTGTTTGCAAAAAAAGGCGATCCCTTTTTCAAAGGTGCACCATCAGAATCATGAGAGGGGTGGAAGCCATTGAGGAGAGCACTGAATGACCAGCAGACCTCCTCCAGCAAATCATTCCATGTCTCATCAGTTGTTGCTGACTTTGGCCAGCAGGAGATCAAGAACTTGCTTTGCAAGGAGTTGAAGCATGTCATCAAGGCACCCCAAGACCAGACCATTAAAGAATTGCTGCTGGCATATTGAACACCATCCCCATGGACAAAGAGTGGAATGGTGATTTTTTTTCCAATTCCTGGTCTTCATGGGGTGCCCTTCCAAAGCTGGATCACCTCTTTTTTCAAGGGTTTGCCAGAATTGTTCCGGCTGTGCTGTTGGAAAAGATTCATTGAAGTTGGGCAGTGTTGCCAAACTGGAGAATAGCATGTGTGGAAGGATCACTGCTGCTTCTTCCTTGTCCTTTTTCAAGGATTTGGGGTTGAGACGCTGGACTGGGACCTGCATTGGCTCAGACACAAAAACACCCTTGACAAACCTGGCCATGAGGTCCCTGTGCACATAGCCAGGATAAAGGCCATGGCTCCCTGCCCTTGCTACATCACAAACCTCTGGGTGGGTGCAGCCATCCAGCATTGCTTGTTCTGCTAACCACCTGCAAGTGGCTGCTGAAAGCTTGCCATGGGCCCACAAGCTCAGAAGGGCTGTTGCTAGCTTGCTGCTTTTCCCTTTCTCAAAGGTTTTCTTGCCAGGTTTGAGTTTCTCTTTTTCAATCTCCACACCTCTCAGCCTCTTTACACCTTGCATCCCCCTTTTGCAAAGGCTGCTTGGCCCATTTTGCAAAGGTCACCTTGTGGGCAAAGCATTTGTAGCCTTTGTAAAAGGCTGGCATGTGACCCAAGGCTTAAGCCAAAAAGCTGCAGACATGAACACATGTGGGTGGTGAGAGGGTGGGGGGGTGCAACAAAACTTGAAAATGGCAGCTTAGGTGCATGGTGAAACACTGTAGTTACAAACAACAACAGGTACCACCCAGCCACCCCAAGAAGCACCAGCAGCCAGAAGCAATCATTTTGCACAGGTTGGTTGGTCTGTGCCTGGGGCTTTTGTGCCGAAGCCACTTTAAAAAAATGTTACCCACCCCTTGTGAAAGAGTTGCTGTGTGATGGGTGTCCACTTGCCATCCCCTTTTGCAAAGGTAGCCCCTTTTTCAAAGGTGTATATGTGTTCACACATACATTGCAGAGGTGGACTTAGTCTCACACACACAACAAGCCCTTTCTTTGGGCCCACCCTTTTGCAAAGGTGATTCCATTTTTTACAAAAGTGCACCCCTTTTGCAAGGATTCTGCCATGTGCTCACTTTCTGGAACTTTTGGACTGGGTTTTCATACTGATCTGGACAAGCTCCTTGGCTTCCTCTTTGGCTTCTGACATGGTGGCCACAGCTTCTTTCAAGAGATCTTTAGTGATGTTGACCTTTCCCTTGTCACCTTTTGCAAGTTGTTTCTTCACTTTTCCAAGTGCAGTTTCCAACTTTGAAAGCTGTGTTTCCTTTCTTTGAAGGCAGGCTTTGTGAGGTACTGCATGCCTTTCACTTTTTCAAGTGCTTCTTCATAGTTTGTCCTGCATTGCTGCAACAAATCCCTCGTTTTTTTGAGCTTCTTAAGGCACTCAACTTGCTGCTCATCTGGTGGCATGTCTTCAAGTGCTTTGGGTGCCTCTGGGTTGGTATCTCCTTTGCCCCTGCCTTTGCCTTTTTTTTGGCTCACCTTCCCTTTCCCTTTCCCCTTCCCAGGGGTTTGATCCATGATCAGAGAGTGCAGCTCCTTTTCCAAGAAGTTGTTCCAACTTTCATATTCATCTTCATTCTGCTGGAACTCCTGGCCTTGGGTCCAGATCCTTTTGGCTGTTCCTGTGGTTTTCTTTGTGTAGTCCATTGTGTCCATGTACTCATAGACCGCCCAAGTTGTCGCACACTGCCTCCACTGCACCCTGCCACTGGAGCAATGCTTTTCCAAATCATCTCCCCATTTTTCAAGGTTTTTTTTCTGATAACCATTTTTCTGTCATGGTCACCTCTTGCTTGGTGCCAATGGACCTGCTAACATTGCAGAACTTGGCAGCTTCCTTTCTCATGAGGAAAAGGGCTGTCAGCTCTCCCTTTTCATTTTTAGATGCAATGCATCCCTTTCTTCCTCATTGCCATTCTTGTTGAGGTGGGTCTGGTGTTTGGACCAAGTCCTGCTTTTTTCTGCTGTGGTCATACTCTTTTGCAGCTCCTTGGCTGCTTCATGTTCATCATCATTGGTTTCTGCGATTTGTTTGATTTTGTCCTGGAGGGACAGCTGCCCCAACTTTTGCAAGTTGTGTTTCTTCAAGATTCCTTTCTGGACTGCACCTTTTTTTCAAAGGTTTCCCCTTTGCAGAGGCTGGCTTCCCCTTTGCAGAGGTGTTCTTCCCTTTGGCAGGGGTTTGATTCCCCTTCCCAGAGGTTTGTTTCCCCTTTGCAGAGGTTGATTTCATTGCCTTTTTCATAGCCTTCGCTTCCCCATTGCTGCAAAAACAAAAGGGCTGTAAAGAAGGAGTTTTGATATCAAAATGGCTGCAATGCAATTTGGTTTTGGGTGCATGTTTTTTGGGCTTTGTTTGATTTTCAATGTGATTTTTTATTCCATGGGCATGTGGTGACAAGAAAAAACATTTCTGATGAAATCTGATGAAATCTGATGAAAACCATGTTTTCATCAGATTTCATCAGATTTCATCAGAGTTTGTATTTTCTATTCATGTCCTGATTTAAGTTGGGAATTCTTGGTTTGAAATTGCAGTGCAACCCTTTTGCAAGGGTCTGAAACCTGCACCAACTGGAGAAACCAACAGACAATCATTGGGTAACCCACCATATATGAAGCCCAAATTACCAAACATTTGTTTCTAAGAACTGTTTGTTGATAAGGTTTTTCTTTTGTTGTTTTTTTAAAGTTCTTTATATATTGGTTTGTTTACTAACTTGTTGTTTAAAGTTTGCTTTTATTTTTTGAAATATCAAATACCCGTATATTAATCCACTTTTTTGGTGAACATACATATATATATATATAGAAAAATAATATATATATATATATTGTTGTATATTTGTTTCTTAAATAAATAAATAAACAAATAAATAAATTTATATTTATATAACTTTCAAATATATGTGAATTACATAAATTCATTTATTTTGTGTATATATATATATATATATATTTTGGTTGGCCTGTTTGGCCTCCAGGTTTCTGTGCCAAGCTGCTGCCACTGCATACTGGGAAGCAACAACTGGGTTACAAGCAAATGTGTTTCTTATTAATAGTTACTTGTACCTTAGTTTTTGGGCAGTGGCAGCAGCTATCTTTGGCCAAAAACATGCAGGTGAAACATACCCTTTTTCAAAGGTAAGTTGTTGTTTAATTCATCCCTTTCCCAAACTTGCTTTTGGCTGCACCCTTTCTCAAAGGTGTTTTGTTTGTGGATACCCTTTTTCAAAGGTATTTGTTTGGTCAAGCCCTTTCTCAAAGGTGTGGTGCTGCCACCTCATTTTTCTAGCTCCAAGTTACCCAAATTCAGAAAATGTACATATACTGTGAATCCATCGTACTCCAGACCTGTCTCTTTGGAACCACTGTTTTCCCAACCTGTTTCCCTGTGTGTGACATGTTTCACACCTGTGAATTGACTGGTTGCGATGGGAAGACCTTTCAGCTCAATTTGGAAATTGTTTGGCACCATGTCGATGCCTTGTGTTGTTCCTGAAATGCTATGGAGCCTGGATGAACTAAAGCGTGTCCTGATAAGTGAGTTTCCCATTTTGGAGACTGAAGAAGGAGAGGGTTTCAACATATTGTTTGACTTGTTTGTTGAGTGGGCTGAAATCTTGTTAAATTACAACAACCAGCATCCGCCCACTCTGTTGAATTTGGGGAATTGTGGCCCAGAATCCTTCTCTCAGGGGATTTCCGGCCGCGCATACTCATGTCGCATCGCACTCGAGGGGTGTCATCGCACCCCAGAGGACCCCATCGCACTCCACACACCTACTCACAGATCATCGTACTCCACAAAAGGGATCGTACACCAGAAAAACTTGCGCAGACAGCCAAAAACAGTTTTTTTCGAAAAATTGACCTGAAGAGCTTTTTTTATTTTTTTCCTCTTCGGAGGTAAAATGCTCTGGAATCTGATAATATGGAATATGGGGGAAATTGTTGTTTTTCCAGCGTTTTGAACAGTCGCGCATACAATCGCATTCCATGAAATTTTGATACTTTTGGCCCGTGGAGGCTATGGAAATTCTCGATTGTTGTCTTAGTCGTGCGCGATGGAGTGTGATGCCTTGTGGGTATGTGGAATGGAATTTGCAGCCTCGAGTTGATCAAAAATGATATTAACATATGCCTGAGAAGCCCACATGCAGGAACGGCAACGCATACGGGGGGGGCATCGTACTCCAGGGGTGGCATCCTACTCAATGTAACTGTATTAAGTGGAAATATGGTACCATTTGGGTTCGAGGAAGAACAGCGTAATCCAGACTTGGCCCCGTTTACAGATGCGGAAGCTGAGCCGCCAGCCAAACGCGTCAAAAAATAAGCTGAACAGCTTATCCAATGGTTTTAAAAGATCCTAGAGAGAAGCTGATGATTGATGAGAGAAACAAGACTTTATGATTATGTTTATTCAAGAAATCATTGCTTGAGAAGGTTCTCAGCGGGGTTAAACATGTGCGACTGGACATGACAGCACGTGACAAGGGAGCGCCTGACAAGGGTCACACAACCTTATTCTCATCATCAAAGGTCGTTCATTATTTTCCAAATTTCCGGAGCTATTTGGGCATGGAATATGAACAGCCTTGGAATATGGGTAAGATTTTGCTAGAATTTTGCTTTTTTGAAAAAGGCACTGACAGCTTTTGAGAAGGAGGCATACAGGGGCAGGCCTTGGTCAGAAACCCAGCTGTAACTTTTACCTGGGCTTCTGATGCAGTAGACCTCAATGCCCTGTTGGTGGCATTCCTTGAGGATGTCCATCCCATCCTCAAAGATGGTGGTGCAGCCATATTGTTTGCACAGGGATGCTTTCCCACCAGCACCAGTTCTTTCTGTAGTGCTGATGAAGGTCACCTTGATGAACCAATCCTCTTTTTCAAGAGTGGCAAGCACTTCTTTTCTCCTGTGGGTGAAGCACCAGGAGCAAACCACAACTTCAACCCCCTTTTCCAAGAGTAGCTCCATGGCAGACCTGTTTCCAGGTGTGATCTTCCCATCGACTTCCAGGGTCCAATGGAAATCAACCATGACCTTTCCCTTTCTCAAAGGTGTGGCCTGTTCAACCTGCTCTTTTTTGACTGATGCTGCAGATGCAGCTGGTGCTGCAGGTGCTTCTGCAGATGCAGCTGGTGCTGCTGGTGCACCTGATGCTGCAGCTGGTGCTGCAGATGCTTCTGCAGATGCAGCTGGTGCTACTGGTGCAGCTGATGCTGCAGGTGCAGCTGGTGCTGCTTGCCCCTTCTCCAAGGGTTCTTGTCCACCTGTGGTTGTTCCCTTCTCCAAGGGTGCCTCATCCTTTGCCTTTTCTTCAGGGATTCTGCACAGCCCCTTTTTTCATTGCAGCTTTCATGCCAGGCAAGTCTTGCTTCTTCCTTTTTCCTCCACTCCCTCCTCACCTTTGGCCCCCTGCTCCTGGAGGACGATGCCATGGAGACATCACTCCCCCTGCTGCCCCTGGAGCTGTTGGAGCTGCTCCTGCTCCTTCCCCTTCCCTTTGGTTTGGGAGGTGTTGGTGGCCTTCTCTTTCTGCCACCTTCCTGCTCCTCCTCCTCCTCATCCCAGGCATCCCTCACCCTCCACCCATCATCTCTTTCCCAAGAGTTTGCCCATTCACCTCTTTCCCAAGAGTTTCTCCAGTTTCTCCACCAACCTCTTTCCCAAGAGTAATCACTTTCCCATGAGTCATCTTCCCAAGAGTCATCTCTTTCCCAAGAGTTTTCTCCAGGCTGGTGTGGCTGCAGGTGCAGCCTTTGGAGCTTCCTTTTGGTGGAAGTGGTCCCCTTGCCAACTTTTTTTTACCAGCCTTGTTTCTGCCATCACCTTTTGCAAGGTGTTTCCTATTCATCTTCCATATCCAGCTGGGAGAACTAGTGGTCAATGTTTTCTGAGGCCACCAGTCACCATCCCCTTCTCCCAAGGGTTTGTCCAGTCCCTGAGGAACTGGGGTTCCCAACATCCCTTTTGCAAAGGGTTAAGCACAGGCCACCCTTTCTCAAAGGTAGTATTGGGAGAGCGAATTGGGGAAACAAACTTAAGAAAACTGCTTGAGCAGAAAGGCTGCAGCAGTGGAAAGAGCTGCAGCAGCAACCACTCACCAAACATGTCAACATGAAACACTTAGGGGGGCTTGAACCAAACCCAAGAAGCATTTGGGGGACCTATACAGCCCAAAAAACATTTAGGGTGGTTACAAACCAAAAATCATTTAGGGGAGACCAAACAATTTTTAGGGGGTTACATTTGTCCAAGCACCAAGCATCTACTAAGGCCACCCCAAGCCCAACCCCTGTGCTGCAGCATGTTTTTGCCCGATGGCATGTCCTGCATGTGCAGCATTAAACACCCTAAGACTGTACAAAACCCGTTCTCAAAGGTTTCCTTGTTGCAATCCCTTTTTCAAAGGTTCCTTTTTGCATAGGTATACCCTTTTTCAAAGGTTCCTTTTTGCACAGGTATAGTGCAAAGGCAAACCCTTTTTCAAAGGTTCCTTTTTGCAAAGGTGCCAGTGCAAAAGCAAGCCCTTTTCAAAGGCACCTTTTTGCACAGTTTGTGCTGCTTTTTGCTTCTCCCCTTCTCTCAAGGGTATTGCTTGCACATTTTCTCTCTGAGTGCTATTGCCTCTGGCTTGCTAAGGTTCTCCTTTCTCAAGGAGTCAATGACCCTGTCCAAAACCCAACTGTATTTTTTTGACATTGTTTTGGTGACTTCTACTATAAGTCTGGGCTTCAGGCCTGCCACCTTGGTGCCCAGCACATAGGCTCTTTCTGGTTTCTTGCCCACTGTCTTTTGCAAAACCAGCCATGGCCCATCACCCTGTAAGGCTTGTCCTTGCTTCTTGCTGGGCTCTTTTGCAAAGGTTCCAGTGCTTTCCCCTTCCCCAAGGGTTTTTGTACTGCTGAGACTTTTTGAAAAAATCAATTCAAATCAATCTACAAAAAATCAGTTGAACAAAGTAGTGAATAAATTGATTGGGATCAATATTCGATGCTCAGGGTCAGTATTCGTCCATACGTTTTCGGTCCAGGAGCCAGATGATATAGTTTTGCGATGTTTTGCGGTATGGTTTACCCTTCTGCCCCATGTTTGACCCATGTCATCTGAGCAAACTTAGCCTGAGAGCCCCACCAACTTGGATTTGCCGATCCCAATTCCCAATGATCTGGTTTGAAGATACAGGTGAAAATCAAGTATGCGTGAATAGCTTTGGGAGCCGCTGGATAACATATTGATGCTTCAAAGAAAAGGACAGTGACCGAGCTACAGCAGCACCCATTTGTAAAATGAATTTGTTCCCATGCCGTGCCGGTTGCCTCTACATCAGCCATAAAAAGCAGCCAAATTCCATTTGATAAACATTCTGTGTATCCGTTACAACCACCTCCAATAATAACCCGTTAGCTGAAATTTCAAAATGGCCCAAATCTACATCTCCAAACCTACGCATCATCAGGCGTCGCGGTTGCAGACTACCTACGTGTGTAGGAAAACACCATTCCCCAAACTATTTTCACCTATGTTCACTCATTTTTTCCCAATTGGTAGCTCCAGAGGTTACATGTCATCAAGCCTCACCGTTGCAGACCATCTACGGTAGGTGGATACCAAAAACCACAGCTATTTTCACCCGTGTTTCCTCCTTGGTAGCTCCACAGGTTACATGTCATCAGGCCTCACCGTTGCAGACCATCTACGGTAGGTGGATACCAAAAAGACCAGCACGTTTAGACAACATAAACCTACCCATGTTTTTTTTAAATAAGTGTGTGCACATATACAAATGAAAAGGAAATAAAGATGATAGGAATCTTAATTGACCCTGAATACACTCTCAAAACATTCTCAAATAAGGATATTAACATAACTCGAAAAAACATGTTAAACACTCAGTGGTTTGTGGATGTGGTTTGAAAATTACAAAAATACTGAAGAAACATGTCAGATAGCATGTCAGAAAATTTCTGAGATTTAATGACAGATATTAAAGAATAATATAAAAAGAATGTCATTAAAAAATGTTTTTTATTTTTTGTTCATTCTGCTTATATACATACATTTCAAAATTATAAAAGCGACATTTCTCATCTTCCCGTTGTTTCCCTCCCGTTGTGTCTCCCCTTTGTTGTCTTTAACGGGGGCTCCCAGGGGCTCATGGTCGTGTTACCCCTGCGCCAAAACCTCGGGCATGTTCACCTTACAACGGGGAGAGACACCGGGAAAAGGATGGAAAATGAGAAATGTCATGTTTATGGTTGGTAAGTGGAAAAAGATGGAAAAAGTGTTTGTAGCTTTTGTACATCTTGAAGTATTGATATTATATATTTTTTATATGTTTTGATATGTGTATTTTAAATATGTTTTGCAATGTCTTGCTTATGTTTTCATTTCTTTTGCAACGTTTTTTTTTTTGAATCATCTTTTTGGACAACGTTTTGAATGTATTGTGCGCATGGTTTCCCAGTTCTTGAATGCGTTGCAAAGATTTGCAAATATTATGTCTTGCTACATTATTTATGTTTTTTTTTGAAAGCTATTTTCACCCGTTTTTCCTCTTGGCAGCTCCACAGGTTACATGTCATCAGGCCTCACCGTTGCAGACCATCTACGGTAGGTGGATTCCAAAAAGACCAGAACGTTTAGACAACATAAACCTACCATGTTTTTATCTTCAAGAAATAAATGCACATATATTGGAGCGAACCCCCCACTAACAGTGGAATAATGGATTTTAATTGTAACTTCCCAGCCAAAATTGCACAACAACCCAGGGACCAAAACCACAAACAATTTGAGAGGCCCAATCTTCTCAATCCAATTTTTTCTGATGTTGAACCGAAGTATGAAATCACCCTGGGGGCAGCCTACTTGGAGCTTGCAGAGATTTTGTTGGATAGCATCCCTTTTGGGCAAAGGGAAAGGCAGCAGTGCAGGGACGAGTTTGCTAAAGGACAAATTTTGCTAAGGGACAAATTTTGCTAAAGGGAAAATTTTGCTAAGGGACAGATTTTGCTATGGGACAAATTTTGCGAAGGGACGAATTTTGCTAAAGGGAAAATTTTGCTAAGGGGCAAAATTTGCTAAGGGACAAATTTTGCTAAGGGGCAAGTTTTGCTAAGGGGCAATTTTTTCTAAGGGACAAGTTTTTCTAGAAGGAAAATTTTGCTAAGGGACAAAATTTGCTAAGGGGCAAATTTTGCTAAGGGGCAAATTTTGCTAAGGGACAAGTTTTGCTAACGGACAAATTTTGCTAAGGGGCAAATTTTGCTAAGGGGCAAATTTTGCTAAAGGGAAAATTTTGCTAAGGGGCAAATTTTGCTAAGGGGCAAATTTTGCTAAAGGGAAAATTTTGCTAAGGGACAAATTTGCCAAAGAAAAATTTTGCTAAGGGGCAAATTTTTCTAAGGGGCAAAATTTGCTAAGGGACAAAATTTGCTAAGGGACAAATTTTGCTAAGGGGCATTTTTTGCTAAGGGACAAATTTTGCTAAGGGACAAATTTTTGGTTGACAAGTTTTGCTAAGGGACAAATTTTGCTAAGGGGCAAATTTTGCTAAGGGAAAACCTCGGGCATGTTCACCTTACAACGGGGAGACACACCGGGAAAAGGATGGAAAATGAGAAATGTCATGTTTATGGTTGGTAAGTGGAAAAAGTGGAAAAAGCATATGCGCAGCGCATCACCTCTCACAAATTTGGTTGACGGCCCTGGGATGGCATTGAACAAGGGGTTTGAGGTGCAGGGATGTGCCAATGCATGTGCATGGGTCACCCTTGTGAAGGCTTGGGTGTCAATTTCCAATTTTTTGAAATACTTTCCCTGATTGGCAGTGCTGGAGGAAGCTCATAGCAAGGCCTCTTGCTGGCCCAGTGGGGCAGGCCAAGGGCCAATGCAAAAAAAATCAGCATCACCCATCACTGCCCAAATCACACCTTTGTATCCATTTGCCAATGGTTTCCCTTTGTTTGCAAAAAAAGGTGATCCCTTTGTTTGCAAAAAAAGGCGATCCCTTTTTCAAAGGTGCACCATCAGAATCATGAGAGGGGTGGAAGCCATTGAGGAGAGCACTGAATGACCAGCAGACCTCCTCCAGCAAATCATTCCATGTCTCCTCAGTTGTTGCTGACTTTGGCCAGCAGGAGATCAAGAACTTGCTTTGCAAGGAGTTGAAGCATGTCATCAAGGCACCCCAAGACCAGACCATTAAAGAATTGCTGCTGGCATATTGAACACCATCCCCATGGACAAAGAGTGGAATGGTGATTTTTTTCCAATTCCTGGTCTTCATGGGGTGCCCTTCCAAAGCTGGATCACCTCTTTTTTCAAGGGTTTGCCAGAATTGTTCCAGCTGTGCTGTTGGAAAAGATTCATTGAAGTTGGGCAGTGTTGCCAAGCTGGAGAATAGCATGTGTGGAAGGATCACTGCTGCTTCTTCCTTTTCCTTTTTCAAGGATTTGGGGTTGAGACGCTGGACTGGGACCTGCATTGGCTCAGGCACAAAAACACCCTTGACAAACCTGGCCATGAGGTCCCTGTGCACATAGCCAGGATAAAGGCCATGGCTCCCTGCCCTTGCTACATCACAAACCTCTGGGTGGGTGCAGCCATCCAGCATTGCTTGTTCTGCTAACCACCTGCAAGTGGCTGCTGAAAGCTTGCCATGGGCCCACAAGCTCAGAAGGGCTGTTGCTAGTTTGCTGCTTTTCCCTTTCTCAAAGGTTTTCTTGCCAGGTTTGAGTTTCTCTTTTTCAATCTCCACACCTCTCAGCCTCTTTACACCTTGCATCCCCCTTTTGCAAAGGCTGCTTGGCCCATTTTGCAAAGGTCACCTTGTGGGCAAAGCATTTGTAGCCTTTGTAAAAGGCTGGCATGTGACCCAAGGCTTAAGCCAAAAAGCTGCAGACATGAACACATGTGGGTGGTGAGAGGGTGGGGGGGGATGCAACAAAACTTGAAAATGGCAGCTTAGGTGCATGGTGAAACACTGTAGTTACAAACAACAACAGGTACCACCCAGCCACCCCAAGAAGCACCAGCAGCCAGAAGCAATCATTTTGCACAGGTTGGTTGGTCTGTGCCTGGGGCTTTTGTGCCGAAGCCACTTTAAAAAAATGTTACCAACCCCTTGTGAAAGAGTTGCTGTGTGATGGGTGTCCACTTGCCATCCCCTTTTGCAAAGGTAGCCCCTTTTTCAAAGGTGTATATGTGTTCACACATACATTGCAGAGGTGGACTTAGTCTCACACACACAACAAGCCCTTTCTTTGGGCCCACCCTTTTGCAAAGGTGATTCCATTTTTTACAAAAGTGCACCCCTTTTGCAAGGATTCTGCCATGTGTTCACTTTCTGGAACTTTTGGACTGGGTTTTCATACTGATCTGGACAAGCTCCTTGGCTTCCTCTTTGGCTTCTGACATGGTGGCCACAGCTTCTTTCAAGAGATCTTTGGTGATGTTGACCTTTCCCTTGTCACCTTTTGCAAGTTGTTTCTTCACTTTTCCAAGTGCAGTTTCCAACTTTGAAAGCTGTGTTTCCTTTTCTTTGAAGGCAGGCTTTGTGAGGTACTGCATGCCTTTCACTTTTTCAAGTGCTTCTTCATAGTTTGTCCTGCATTGCTGCAACAAATCCCTCGAATTTTTGAGCTTCTTAAGGCACTCAACTTGCTGCTCATCTGGTGGCATGTCTTCAAGTGCTTTGGGTGCCTCTGGGTTGGTATCTCCTTTGCCCCTGCCTTTGCCTTTTTTTTGGCTCACCTTCCCTTTCCCTTTCCCCTTCCCAGGGGTTTGATCCATGATCAGAGAGTGCAGCTCCTTTTCCAAGAAGTTGTTCCAACTTTCATATTCATCTTCATTCTGCTGGAACTCCTGGCCTTGGGTCCAGATCCGTTTGGCTGTTCCTGTGGTTTTCTTTGTGTAGTCCATTGTGTCCATGTACTCATAGACCGCCCAAGTTGTCGCACACTGCCTCCACTGCACCCTGCCACTGGAGCAATGCTTTTCCAAATCATCTCCCCATTTTTCAAGGTTTTTTTTCTGATAACCATTTTTCTGTCATGGTCACCTCTTGCTTGGTGCCAATGGACCTGCTAACATTGCAGAACTTGGCAGCTTCCTTTCTCATGAGGAAAAGGGCTGTCAGCTCTCCCTTTTCATTTTTAGATGCATTGTTGAATGCATCCCTTTCTTCCTCATTGCCATTCTTGTTGAGGTGGGTCTGGTGTTTGGACCAAGTCCTGCTTTTTTCTGCTGTGGTCATACTCTTTTGCAGCTCCTTGGCTGCTTCATGTTCATCATCATTGGTTTCTGCGATTTGTTTGATTTTGTCCTGGAGGGACAGCTGCCCCAACTTTTGCAAGTTGTGTTTCTTCAAGATTCCTTTCTGGACTGCACCTTTTTTCAAAGGTTTCCCCTTTGCAGAGGCTGGTTTCCCCTTTGCAGAGGTGTTCTTCCCTTTGGCAAGGGTTTGATTCCCCTTCCCAGAGGTTTGTTTCCCCTTTGCAGAGGTTGATTTCATTGCCTTTTTCATAGCCTTCATTGGCTTCCCCATTGCTGCAAAAACAAAAGGGCTGTACAGAAGGAGTTTTGATATCAAAATGGCTGCAATGCAATTTGGTTTTGGGTGCATGTTTTTTTAGGATTTGTTTGATTTTCAATGTGATTGTTTTTTTTTTCCATGGGCATGTGGTGACAAGAAAAAACAGTTCTGATGAAATCTGATGAAATCTGATGAAATCTGATGAAATCTGATGAAAACATGGCTGTCATCAGATTTCATCAGATTTCATCAGATTTCATCACTTGTATTTTCTATTCATGTCCTGATTTAAGTTGGGAATTCTTGGTTTGAAATTGCAGTGCAACCCTTTTGCAAGGGTGCCCAAATTACCAAACATTTGTTTCTAAGAACTGGTTGTTGATAAGGTTTTTCTTTTGTTTTTTTTTTAAGTTCTTTATATATTGGTTTGTTTACTAACTTGTTCTTTAAAGTTTGTTTTAAGTCTTTTGAAATATCCAAATACCTGTATATTAATCCACTTTTTTGGTGAATATATATATATATATATAGAAAAATAAATAATATATATATATAATATATATATATAATATATAATATATATATATAATATAATATATATATATATTGTTGTATATTTGTTTCTTAAATAAATGAATAAATTTATTTGTATTTATATTTATATGACTTTTAAATATAGTCAATTTACATAAATTAATTTATTATATATATATATATATTTTTTTTTATTTTGGTTGGCCTGTTTGGCCTCCAGGTTTCTGTGCCAAGCTGCTGCCGCTGCATACTGGGAAGCAACAACTGGGTTACAAGCAAATGTGTTTCTTATTAATAGTTACTTGTACTGTACCTTAGTTTTTGGGCAGTGGCAGCAGCTATCTTTGGCCAAAAACATGCAGGTGAAACATACCCTTTTTCAAAGGTAAGTTGTTGTTTGATTCATCCCTTTGCCAAGGGTACTTGCTTTTGGCTGCACCCTTTCTCAAAGGTGTTTTGTTTGTGGATACCCTTTTTCAAAGGTATTTGTTTGGTCAAGCCCTTTCTCAAAGGTGTGGTGCTGCCACCCCATTTTGCTTTTTTGAAAAAGGCGCTGACAGCTTTTGAGAAGGAGCCATACAGGGGCAGGCCTTGGTCAGAAACCCAGCTGTAACTTTTACCTGGGCTCCTGATGCAGTAGACCTCAATGCCCTGTTGGTGGCATTCCTTGAGGATGTCCATCCCATCCTCAAAGATGGTGGTGCAGCCATATTGGTTGCACAGGGCTGCTTTCCCACCAGCACCACTTCTTTCTGTAGTGCTGATGAAGGTCACCTTGGTGAACCAATCCTCTTTTTCAAGAGTGGCAAGCACTTCTTTTCTCCTGTGGGTGAAGCACCAGGAGCAAACCACAACTTCAATCCCCTTTTCCAAGAGTAGCTTCATGGCAGACCTGTTTCCAGGTGTGATCTTCCCATCGACTTCCAGGGTCCAATGGAAATCAACCATGACCTTTCCCTTTCTCAAAGGTGTGGCCTGTTCAACCTGATCTTTTTTGACTGATGCTGCAGATGCAGCTGGTGCTGCAGGTGCTTCTGCAGATGCAGCTGGTGCTGCAGGTGCTTCTGCAGATGCAGCTGGTGCTGCTGGTGCACCTGATGCTGCAGCTGGTGCTGCAGATGCTTCTGCAGATGCAGCTGGTGCTACTGGTGCAGCTGATGCTGCAGGTGCAGCTGGTGCTGCTTGCCCCTTCTCCAAGGGTTCTTGTCCACCTGTGGTTGTTCCCTTCTCCAAGGGTGCCTCATCCTTTGCCTTTTCTTCAGGGATTCTGCACAGCCCCTTTTTTCATTGCAGCTTTCATGCCAGGCAAGTCTTGCTTCTTCCTTTTTCCTCCACTCCCTCCTCACCTTTGGCCCCCTGCTCCTGGAGGACGATGCCATGGAGACATCACTCCCCCTGCTGCCCCTGGAGCTGTTGGAGCTGCTCCTGCTCCTTCCCCTTCCCTTTGGTTTGGGAGGTGTTGGTGGCCTTCTCTTTCTGCCACCTTCCTGCTCCTCCTCCTCCTCATCCCAGGCATCCCTCACCCTCCACCCATCATCTCTTTCCCAAGAGTTTGCCCATTCACCTCTTTCCCAAGAGTTTCTCCAGTTTCTCCACCAACCTCTTTCCCAAGAGTAATCACTTTCCCATGAGTCATCTTCCCAAGAGTCATCTCTTTCCCAAGAGTTTTCTCCAGGCTGGTGTGGCTGCAGGTGCAGCCTTTGGAGCTTCCTTTTGGTGGAAGTGGTCCCCTTGCCAACTTTTTTTACCAGCCTTGTTTCTGCCATCACCTTTTGCAAGGTGTTTCCTATTCATCTTCCATATCCAGCTGGGAGAACTAGTGGTCAATGTTTTCTGAGGCCACCAGTCACCATCCCCTTCTCCCAAGGGTTTGTCCAGTCCCTGAGGAACTGGGGTTCCCAACATCCCTTTTGCAAAGGGTTAAGCACAGGCCACCCTTTCTCAAAGGTAGTATTGGGAGAGCGAATTGGGGAAACAAACTTAAGAAAACTGCTTGAGCAGAAAGGCTGCAGCAGTGGAAAGAGCTGCAGCAGCAACCACTCACCAAACATGTCAACATGAAACACTTAGGGGGGCTTGAACCAAACCCAAGAAGCATTTAGGGGACCTATACAGCCCAAAAAACATTTAGGGTGGTTACAAACCAAAAATCATTTAGGGGAGACCAAACAATTTTTAGGGGGTTACATTTGTCCAAGCACCAAGCATCTACTAAGGCCACCCCAAGCCCAACCCCTGTGCTGCAGCATGTTTTTGCCCGATGGCATGTCCTGCATGTGCAGCATTAAACACCCTAAGACTGTACAAAACCCGTTCTCAAAGGTTTCCTTGTTGCAATCCCTTTTTCAAAGGTTCCTTTTTGCACAGGTATACCCTTTTTCAAAGGTTCCTTTTTGCACAGGTATAGTGCAAAGGCAAACCCTTTTTCAAAGGTTCCTTTTTGCAAAGGTGCCAGTGCAAAAGCAAGCCCTTTTCAAAGGCACCTTTTTGCACAGTTTGTGCTGCTTTTTGCTTCTCCCCTTCTCTCAAGGGTATTGCTTGCACATTTTCTCTCTGAGTGCTATTGCCTCTGGCTTGCTAAGGTTCTCCTTTCTCAAGGAGTCAATGACCCTGTCCAAAACCCAACTGTATTTTTTTGACATTGTTTTGGTGACTTCTACTATAAGTCTGGGCTTCAGGCCTGCCACCTTGGTGCCCAGCACATAGGCTCTTTCTGGTTTCTTGCCCACTGTCTTTTGCAAAACCAGCCATGGCCCATCACCCTGTAAGGCTTGTCCTTGCTTCTTGCTGGGCCCTTTTGCAAAGGTTCCAGTGCTTTCCCCTTCCCCAAGGGTTTTTGTACTGCTGAGACTTTTTGAAAAAATCAATTCAAATCAATCTACAAAAAATCAGTTGAACAAAGTAGTGAATAAATTGATTAGGATCAATATTCGATGCTCAGGGTCAGTATTCGTCCATACGTTTGCGGTCCAGGAGCCAGATGATATAGTTTTGCGATGTTTTGCGGTATGGTTTACCCTTCTGCCCCATGTTTGACCCATGTCATCTGAGCAAACTTAGCCTGAGAGCCCCACCAACTTGGATTTGCCGATCCCAATTCCCAATGATCTGGTTTGAAGATACAGGTGAAAATCAAGTATGCGTGAATAGCTTTGGGAGCCGCTGGATAACATATTGATGCTTCAAAGAAAAGGACAGTGACCGAGCTACAGCAGCACCCATTTGTAAAATGAATTTGTTCCCATGCCGTGCCGGTTGCCTCTACATCAGCCATAAAAAACAGCCAAATTCCATTTGATAAACATTCTGTGTATCCGTTACAACCACCTCCAATAATAACCCGTTAGCAGAAATTTCAAAATGGCCCAAATCTACATCTCCAAACCTACGCATCATCAGGCGTCGCGGTTGCAGACTACCTACGTGTGTAGGAAAAACCATTCCCCAAACTATTTTCACCTATGTTCACTCATTTTTCCCAATTGGTAGCTCCAGAGGTTACATGTCATCAAGCCTCACCGTTGCAGACCATCTACGGT